TCTCTTCATTTGATGTTCTAGGGTTTCAGGATTGTTGATTCTCTGTTTGGCTTAGTTTTTCGGATCTTTGTTGTGGAGGGACGGCGTGGTGTTTCTGCCTAGAGCGCCATCTTGCCGGAAGTCTCAGTTGAACTGTGTATTCTAAATAGGTCTCTGGTGGTGCAGACAGTTTGTACTCAGGGTTGGCAGTCTGAACCCACCCAGAGGTGCTTCGGAAGACAGGCCTCTTGATCTGCTTCCGAAAGATCACAGCTTTGAAAACCCTATGGAACAGTTCTACTCTGTAACAGGTAGGGTCGCCATGAGTCAGAGTTGACTCAATGGCAAGTCGTCAGGTTTTTCTGTATTCTGTATATTAAAATTTTAATTGATTTATTTATAACAAAGTTGCCCTATTATTTGTTTTTTTCTTTGTAAATTCATATTGTAAAAAAGTACAACATTTTTATATTATGCTACTTTTCTATTTTATTTGCTTTTATTTTCCCAGTAATTAAAAAAGTATCCACCAAAAAACAAAGTACAGAAACAGAACATCATGTATACACTGTTCCCAACTGTGCTTTTAAAGTTTTCTTACAGAAATTAAAATCTATACATAGGACATTTTTGGAAGTGCATGCTGTAAATCTGTAGCAGTGGGGTTGCCTTTGGGGAGGGCTTGCGCTCTGGGGCAGAATAGAGATATCCTTTCATGTACAACCTCTTATATATTAAATTATGTTAACTCTGTGCATGCATTACGTTGTCATTTAAAAAGAGAATGTGGTTGATTAAGAAAATGAATAAAAAGGGTCTCTCCTCTAAGGTATATTTACAAAGCACCTACTTCATACCTAGGGGTGAAGTAGGAACAATAGGGAGTACAGAGGAATTAGGACATAGACCCTATTCTCCAAGAGTTTATTTATAGTCAGAGCCCAGCTATTTGCATTAAAATTTTAAAGTGGCTTGTAAATCTACATATAATATGATAAAATTGAAAGATAAAGGAATCAAAATGCAGATACAATACATAGACAAGATCAGAAAGAAAAGTAATATAAAACTATCTTAAACCATAGAGTTATATACAGTTCCTAAAGTTGGCCAAAAATTTCATCCTGAGCTTTTTGTCAGAACTGCCTCTTTGCACAACTTCTTGGGACACCAGTTCCATAGACTTATCACGTGAATTCCACCCCTTGTATATTAATCCAGAAAGTTCCTGGCACTAAAGTAGAAAGAAATACAATTGGTTTTCAGTGCCTCATTGTCTAAAGAAAAAGCGTGCTTTTTTCCCCAGAGAAACAAAGATTTCCTTGTTGTGGGACTAAAAATAATGTCTTATTTGGGTTTTCAAATAGAGATAACTTAGTATATAGTGAACAGAGTACTTGATAATAGGTAAACCAAGGATGTGCTTCTGAAGCACAGTTCACAATTATAGCTTTATTGGGGACGAAAATGGTGTGACATAACTATACAATTCTCTGGTAGATGAAAGAGATTACCATCTAGTTTTATGTTACTAAAACGTACATAAAGCAACAAGAAAACAATTATAAAGCCTTATATAATCAAATTTGTGATTTTATTTTGCAGACTACGTACATTGATTTCTTAAAAATTTTATCACGGATAGTCCAGTTAGGTTTCAGGAAAAGGATCTCTAAAAATATACAGAATAAGAATTGGTAAAGTAGATCATTGTGACAGGAATACTTTATTATTAGAATTTACTTGATAAGTAGTAGTGTTATCCCTTGTAGTGACCTCACATTGTCAATGGTTATGAAAACATTTTATTTTTCAGAAATATACTCAGAGCAATGGACGAAGACCTTTTGGTATTTCTGCCTTAATTGTAGGTTTTGATGATGATGGTATCCCAAGATTATATCAGACAGATCCTTCTGGTACCTATCATGCTTGGAAGGTAAATTATGAATTTGTTAGTTTTTGTTTGTTAGAAGCTGAATAAATGTGTTCATTGTAAATACTTTATTGCATTCAGGGATGTGCCAAAAGTTAGGTTGCATAATTTTAATGGTGGCACAGACTTTATAAATGTAACCCTTTAGCTTGTCAGAAATTATGATAGTTTTTGATAAAAACATCTTAGTATATTAATCATAGAGTCTTTCCCTTACTTGTGTAAAGATGATACAAATCTTAAGTGTATATAAATGGCCGGGTAAGAGAAATAAAATAATCTTTTAATAAAGAATTAAATGGGCATTTAAATCCTTTACTGAAATATTTAATGCATCCTGTATTCTATCTAGGAGAGTCAGACCACCCCAAACTGTGAATCTATACTTACGTGTCGGTATGTTGTAGATGTCACCACATAATTCCTAAAATGTAATTTGTTTTCTGGATAAGTTGTTAATTCCTGTTTCAGTACCCAACTAGTAACGTTGTTTAACGGTGCATGTAAATCTAATACACAAATCTAGGGCCTACAGAAACTAGTGGTGGTTTCTGAGACAGAGGAAAAAAAGTTTCCTGCCATATGAGAGGGAGAAGGTTGGCCTTGCAGAGAAGAGACCAAAACTCAGTGAGTTCTCTACAATTGCCGGGTTAGCCAGATCAAGATTTTTGGAGTTGATAATTAAGAAAAACTGTGAGAGTAGGCTTGGTAATGTGGGGCTCTGAATAGGAGGGAGATCATAAATATTATTCTTTTCTGTTTCTCCAATTAACCATAAATATCTTTGAAATTTAATTCACTAAATATTTATGGCATGCCTTCTGTGTCTTAGACATTAAGAGGCACTTTGGAAAAATGTACGTACGGATTCTAAATTATTTAGAGACATGTGCCTAATGTCTCAGAGCCCACTTTGACTATTTATCTATTATCTCCAGAAGTGACTTAGTCTGTATTGTCATATATGGGAATAAGACTGTACTACAGAATCTATTACAAGTTATTTGGATTTGTTAAAAATTTGAATACCAAGGATCTAAATAATCTCACAAAAAGTTTATTGTACTTTTATTGAATTCCAAAAAAATAGTAGGGAAATGTTGCTGTGGTCTTTATGCCTATGTTAAGTAAAAGATTTGGTTTGAGCTGACCATACTCACAAGATACTGTTTTATAAATCAGTTAACCAGGCTGGTAAAACAGTGGGTTACATTCTTGCTGCAAAGATTGGAATACTGTGTCAGCTGCACATCTTCTTTTAAGCTACCTTTTAAGCAATTAGGAATATCTAATTAGTAATGAGAAATATGGATTTATTTGCCTGCTGCAAATATCTAACTTTTTTTCTGTCAATTAGAAATCTTTTATATGTACTGGATTTCTTGTTTCTCCCGGATCTCTACCTTAAACAATGTTATTTCACTCAATCTTTTCTAAATATTTTGAAGGCTGCCATCTTCTGTTTGCATTTATTATTACATCATTACCCTTCATTTCAGTATAATGACTAAATATTCCAAGCTTGTGTTTAATTTTTCGTTTTAGATTGGTTGCTTTCTAGAAATATGCAGTAAGGCATTTTTATTTTACCCCTGGATCAATTTGTTGGGATTATGAAATTTTAAAATTACTGGGAATGTCATCAGTCATCTTGGTCTGAAACTATGTATGCTCTACTGCAGTTTCTTAAGGGAACTTGGTGGAAATACACCCCACTACCATCATTTTACTTATTTTTACATATTACACTTTCTTGTAAGATTTTGTTTGGAGGAAGTATTATGTGGTGTAAAAAATCGACAGTAGAAACATTTGTAAACCTTCTGTTTTACATATATGGTAACAGACTCAGGAGTTACGTGATTGTTTTGTTTTGAGTTCACATCACTAGTTAATAGCACAATTGGAATTAGAATTCAGGGTCTTCTATTTATTAGTCCAGTATTCTTTCTACTACATTATGCTGTTGTCCTTAAGCCAAATATATATAAGTGCCGTGAAGAATAAAAAAGCAAGGTAAGAAGGATAGAGAGCGACTAGTAGATTACATGGAAAGGAAAGGTCCCTTTGAAACATTTGAATGGACACCTGAAGAAAGTAAAGAAGCAAGCCAGGCAGTTATTTGCTATGGTGTTCCAAACACAAACAATAAGGACAGAGTCCCAGAGGCAGAAGAATGCTCCATATGTATGGTGTCTCCAGGGAGCATTTCTCTGAGGAAGTGATGTTTAAGCTGAAACCAAATGAAAAGAAGCCAGCAAGTGACTATGCTTGGGGGTGGAGGGCTGCCATATGGGGATGGGCTTAGGGAGGATCTTACCAAATAATGCTGTTAGTCTGCCAGATTTGGGACCCATGATTTTAATTTGAGAAACTTAGACTTTCGGGTAGATCTGTGTGAAATCCATGCTGTGTAGGAGTTGCTCGCCTTATGAGCCTAAAGGGTTTAGCCAAATTGTTTTATTTTTTTATAAAACAGCAGATCTCAAAAAGGTGGTCTGTAGATCTCTGGTCCATGAAATCAAAACTATTTTCATAATACTGCTAAGACGATATTTGCCTTTTTTTTCACTGTGTGGACATTTGCATCGTTGATACAAGAGCAATGGTGGATAAACTGCTTGTGCCTTAGCATGAATCAAAGCCGTGGCACCCACCTGTGTTAGTGCTCATTGTATTCTTCACCATCATGCACTGGAAGTAAATAAAGTTGACTTTCATGTAAGATGTCCTTGATGAAACTTAATTTTACTGAATCTTAACTCGAGCACACATCCTTTTAATTTTCTGTGTGATGAATGGAAACAGGCATAAAGTACTTCTGTTGCAGGTACAGTGGTTGCCTTGAGGAAAAGCAGTTCTGCAATTGTTTGAGTTGCAAGCTCAAGTCCATTTTCTATGGAACTTCATTTTTATTCAGATTTGGGTATTTGGGAGAACGAACAGCTTCTCAAAAATGAGCAAACTGAGTTTGTCACTTTAAGGAAACATCTGACAGCATTTATTGCCAATGATAAAATTTGAGCTTTCAGGAAAAAATTAGAATTTTAGAAAACTTGTATTTGCCACCACGAGCTTGACAGCTTCTCAGTACTTGAAGATTTCTCTGATGAGATTTTTGGTGAAATTAACAAGCATGATTAATTGGTATTTTAAAAATAAAGTGGGTCACTGTCTGGAAGTTCTGCATAATTCAGTGAACCAATGTTCTCCAAATGACCAAAGCATGATATTGCAAAATCTTGCAGCCTATTGTAACTACTAAACTCTGCCATTGTAGCGTGAAACCAGACACCAACAATATATAATTGAATGGATGTGGCTAGGTACCAATAAAACTTTACTTAAAAAAACAATACAGGAACTGGCCCATGGACTAGTTTGCTGACCTCTGGACTATACATTGGTTTATGCATATGTGACAAACTGATTTAGACCTTACAGAGGAAGGTTCCTGAGGATAGGGTTAAGGTATACATGGAAGTAATCTTTCTTAGAGATCAATCAGGGAGGTATAAGCCATTTGGAATATCCAGTCTATTTTTATTATTTTCGTAAGAAATCAACCTATAAGTAAGCACTTTATAATTTCTTTCATCTTAAAAAACAAAACACAAAGACTCTCTTGGTCACACTTTGCTTCCTACTACCACCCCATTTCACAACATGCAACATGAGCTTCATAATGGTGCCAGTTTCTCATGCCCTGCAAATCCCATGAGAACAACACAGGAGAACCCAGGTGGCTGCAGTGGGTTTGTGTTGCAGCTGAGAAACCCTGAGCTTGGAGAATCTATTACTTTTATAGTAGGCGGTAAGCATGCCTGCTCTGTTCTGCAGGGAGACATTACCTCATCCCTCAAGGTTGGTTGCTGCAAACACAATCCTGAGAAATGGCCCAGGTCAAAAGCAGTCAGGGCCATGCATTCTTGGCATAGCCAGCAAAAAAGTGCAGTGACAGTCCAAGCCCATGTAGGATTGCCTCTCCCAATACCACCCTTTCTCACCTATTGTCTGATTGTCAACAGATTCTGTTAAAATTGTCAGATCAGATCATTCCTCCATTCATAATCCTCCCCTATGTTCCTATAGTAAGTGAGAGTAAGAGCCAAAGCACTTACAGTGGTCTACAAGGCTTTACCTTGTCTAGCTTCCCCTTAACTCTGATTTACACCTTACTCTCATCTACTCAGCTGCACTGGCCTCTTAACCTTTCTCAGGGCCTTTGACCTTGCTTATTACTCGCTCTGCCCGGAGTTCTCTTGCAGATATTTGCATGGTTTGCTGCTTCACCTCTTGCAGGTCACCATCTGAATGAGGTCTTAGCCAGCCTTTCTGTTCTACTCCCGGTGCCCTTTATTCGTTTTCCTGGTTTTATCTCCTTTTCACTAACATACTGTTTATTTTATATATTTTCTAGTATATTATCTATCTCTCCCCACTAGAGTGTAAACTCCGTGAGGGCAGGAATTTTTGCTTCATTTTTATATACTATTGAAACAACATTGCCTAGAACAGAATCTGATATACAAGGGGGCTCATAAATATTTGATGAATAAATGAATGTATATAAAGCTGTCTCTACTTCATTTTCAAAGTGTTGTTACACTTGAGACTGTTGAAGCATTAGTAACTCTTACAGCTTTTTAAACTTGTTTTATTTGCTCTGTTAACTAAAAATTTATTAGGGGAAGTTTGTGTTTTAAGTTTTCAAGATCTGTTTCATAGTAAACACTAATCAGGTGTTTTTATAGCATTCAAGTCATGAAATTCTGCTTCTAAATGTCTGCTTTGACTATAATTTTATTAATTTTTGATGATACTATCTTATAGATGGAGCCCTGGTGGTGCAGTGGTTAAGCACTCAGCTGCTAACCAAAAGGTCAGCAGTTTGAATCCACCAGATGCTCCTTGGAAACCCTATGGGGCAGTTCTGCTCTGTCCTGTAGGGTCAGTATGAGTCAGAATCGACTTGATGGCAGAGGATTTGGTGTTTATCTTAT